AACGTGAGAAGCTTGGGAGGAAAAAACCAAATACAGTGGTGTCCCGCAAGACGGGAGGTGTCCCGCAGGACGGGAGCTCCATTTAACGACGAAACCGGTTGACGTAGATGTTTTTGCAATCGCAAAAGTGATCGCAAAACGATGTTCCCTATGGGGGAATTTCGCTTTGCAATGATTGGGTCCCTGCTTCGGGAACCAATTCTCACAAAGCGATGATTTTTTAACAGCTGATCGGCAGTTTCAAAATGGCTGCCGGGTAAACAAAATGGCTGCCCGCTGTTTTCTGCGATGGATTCCTCGCTGGACAGGCAGTGAAAATGGCTGCGCAATGGAGGACCTTTGCTGGACAGTGAGTTTCCAGCCCATAGGAACGCATTAACCGGGTTTTAATGCGTTTCTGTGGGCTTTTAAAAATCGCTTTATGATGTTTTTGTTCTACAGCGATTTCGCTGGAACGAATTAATGTCGTAATGTGAGGCATCACTGTGTGAAATACTTTCTCTTTTCTAATTAGTGAAATACTTTGTAAGGCAAGATTTTATTTATTCAGAATAACCAAATTCCTATTACTGTACAGTACTTACATCCAGTGGCATAAAACAGTTGGCAAAATTTTCATTGGCAAATTGTTGAAAGTTAAGAAGCTGTTTTGCCCCGAGTTGCACAGTTTGGCACTCAACAGTAAATGACTATGCTAATTTCTCATCCAGTTAACTGCCAGGATTTATACTGATTACGTTAATAATAATAATTGTGTTCTGTCAAGTTGATTTTGACTTATGGCGAACCTTTCCAGGGTTTTCCAGGTAGAGAGTACTCAGTTTACCATTCCCTTCTGGGGGCCTCCTGGGACTCTGCAGTTTTCCCAAGGCTACAGAGGTTGCCTCTTGTGGGATGCACAGTTAGATACCTACCTCGCTAAGCTGTCCAGTCAGCTATTGATTGTGTTATACTGGCATAAAAGTACAATGCTACTTTGGCCAGTGTGTGGTCTGTTTATATAAGACAGGCATTAGAGTGCAAATGTTCCTCTCTATGCGTATGTACTACAAGCACATCAGTCAGATATTCTCAGTGTTTATAATTTTAAACGTATAACCCCGGTCCTCCTGTACCCCTGACATCCCCTGTTTTTTTTTTAAGGAAAGTCTTCGCCGTGGGAAGGGGGCAATTTTGCTATGTTTTGAGTCCTCCAGGCATATGATTAACATGTTTTCCCTCCAGTGATGGGGTTTCCTTAGAGATATGTGCTTGAGCTGACAAATTTTCAGTATAAGTTACTTTTGAACTTCCAGTGACCCATCACAAAATAAAGCACACCAGCTGCCACAAAACAGAGGTGAGGAAAAATATGCAATTTGACCAGAGACATCTTTTTACCACATAATAGGTTCTAAGCAAATCATCTAATATGACTCTAAGATACATTTGCATTTTGAAGCAAATGTACCTTGGTTTGCAAAGCTCTTTCTCAAATCTCCCTTCCAATCTTGTCAAGCAGACAAAAGAGAGACATGCAGTGGGGAGGTAATAAGGAGAAGATAGTTATTCCTTCCTTGTCTAGCATATTTGTGTCACTTGGGATAGAATCACTGAATAATGGAATTGGAAGGGGCCTGTAAAGCCACTGAGTCCAGCCTCTGCTCAGTGCAGGAATCCAAATCAAACTAGATCCAACAGATGGTTGTCCAATTTTCTCTTGAATGCCATGAGCGCTTACCAACTCCTGAGGTCATTGGTTCCATTGTCATACAGCTCTAACAGGAAGTCTTTCCCTAAATCGTGTTTCCTGTAGCTTGAAGCCATTACCACATGTCCTGCAATCTGGGATGATTGAGAACAGATCCTGCTCCTCCTCTGTATGACTTTCTGTATATGGTATCATATCTCCCTCCTTCCTCAAGAACAGATAGAAGAATACAGTAGTGCCCCGCTTGACGACAATAATCTGTTCCAGCAAAATCGCTGTACAGCGATATCGTCATTAAAAAAACCCAATTGAAATGCATTGAAAACTGGTCAATGTGTTCCAATGGGGGAAATACCTGATCGTGCAGTGAAGATCCTCCATAGGGCGACCATTTTGCGATGCCTGTAAAGTGGTCCTATGTGATTCATATAGGCGGGATATAAATTAAATAAATAAAATAAAAATAAATAACGGGGAACCATTTTACAACCCGCTGATCAGCTGTTTCTAATCGTCGTCTAGTGAAGAAACAGTTCCCGAAGCAGGGACCTATTCATCAACAAACAAAAAACCCATATAAACATCGTAGTGAAAAAACCATCGTAAAGCGATTTCGTCGTCAAGCGGGGTAACCGTTAATATCTTTACTACGATCCTTTTAAATTAGTAAATCAATTGCAGTTAGAGCTAGACTGGTTCAGGGACCACATGCAGTCCCTCTAGATCAGTGGTCCCCAACCCTTTTTTACACCGTGGACCGGTTGGGGAAGGCGGGGCACACACACCCTGCTCGCGCGCATGTGCGAAGGAGCAGGCACGCACATTCACGGCCACAAAGGATCAGGAGGGTGCTCAGGGTTATTTGCGCGTGTGCATGCGCAAAGGGGCTGTGCAAAGCGGTGCGTGTGGGGAGAGATCTGTCTCCACAGTCCGGCCCAGGCCATGGACCAGCACCAGGCCATGGACTGGGGTTTGAGGACCTCTGCTCTAGATCTTCGAGGGCTATACCTGTTTCTCCTATAACTCTGAAATCTGCCAGGCATTTTGGAAAAAAGGCCCCCACTGGGGATAACGGGGCAGTTTTGCCACGCTTTGAGTCCTCTGGACATGTGTCATTTATCAGGAGCCTTTTTTCAAAAATTAGAAGCAAAATAAATAAAAATAGGGAATGGCACTGGCAGGCCACGTGTGGCTGGCTCACGGACATCCTGATACAATGGTGCTTTTAATAGCTATACGTTCAACCTTTTGTCATGCTTTTATTCTTTTATTCTTTTAATGTATTTTATTTTCGTTACGTTCACATTTTGCTTTAAGTTGTTATTGATTATTTCTGTTTTATTGCTTTGTATTATTGTATAAACCTTCCAGAGTGGTCTTGGTAGCTAGATGGGTGGTATAAAAATCAGATAAATAAATAAATAAAATACTTTGCCTATTCCTGCATTGCACATAAAATTACAGGTGAATGTCAGGAGCACTTGCTGGAGTGTGAAGTAAACCAGGTTCTTCACACATGCTCTGCTTTTCAACAACAACAACAGGGATTTCCAGATCCAAACTGATAGAGACTTTGAAAATAATATACCAGACATTGTAATATCAGAATGAAGAACATTCCTCTTGACATTGCAATTCTAGGGGATGGCAGAGTTGATAATAAAGAATAGTAAACACTAGCAAAATACAAAGACTTGGCAATTGAAATATCTTGCCTGTGGATGAAACATATCTCAGTGGTTCCGATCGTCATTGGGGCTTTGGGAACAATATTAAGAAATTTCACACACTATTATAAGCAGTTGCAGATTCCAAAAATGCATAACACCATCAAAGCTATGAAAAATGACAATATTAAAAACAGCATATTTTACAGATACTTAGGTTTTTGGTTAAAACTTGTATCTGTTATGTAAGACCTGTCAATGTTTTTATAATTTTGATTGACTGTGCCGGGTATTTTTTTTAACAACAACAACAGATATTTGTGGAAATGGGATAGCGCTACAAACCTACAAGTCTTGCTTTAGTGTTGTGGGAAATGGGCATCCGGGTAATGCTTTAAATGAGATTATTATTTTTTCCCTCTTGAAAGGAATAAAGTGCTGCATATTGCCTTTGATTTGGCTAAGATTAATTGTTCATTTAAGTAAAAGTAGGCAAATAAAGCAAAAAAGATAAAATACAATTGGAAAACTTTGGATTCTGTTATTTTGTGCATGAAACAACAATGACCAAAATCTTGTAGGGATCATACATTATAAGTAGGCAATAATGTAAGCCGTCCTACTATGGATACATGCCCACAGCGAGATGGTCAATAAGCAAGAGGGGAATACCACTTGTGTGATTGCCATTACTCATAGGTTCCTTAAATAGCATTTTGGCCAACAGAATTTGGTTATAGTATTTGCATTATTGGTCGAGCTGGCTGTTGTGAATCCTGAATTGTTCCACATAGATTGACAGCTGTAAAAAAGTTTGCTAAGATTGACATATTGTTAGATATTTTGTAATAGTAAGTAAGGTTTATTTGTATTTGTGATACTTTGTATGTTTTCATATTTATAAAATAGACATTAAAACACGATGCCACTTTCTCAGTTGGTATGACGCACTGTAATTTAAAGCCAGAATACTTAAGTATAGGTTTGAGGCTTCCATGGTTAGTCAGCAACATGATGATATTGTCTTTTCCCATTTCCCAGCTGAAAACTCCTATCCCTGGGAGTCAGAGGGAAAAGTAGGAAGTGGTTGAAGGAAATAGCAATGGTCAGTGATTCCTGCCACTCTCAGTTCATGATGTGAGTGGAGGAAGGACTTCCCACCTCCATTTTGTTATAGGGTTTCCACTTGGTTTGGTTACAAGCCAGTTGTGGTTCTCATTTGTCTGAAGTAAGTATGATGGAATGGATACTAAAACACTCAGAGATGAAGCAACAGGCAGTAAGTATAGTAGTTAGAAGGATTAACTAACAGGCTCAGGTTCAAATCTCAAACACAGCCATTACCCATCATAGACCTATCACTCTGCTGTAAAATAGCTTACTTATTGTCAATTAATTCATCTGTAACGTAGTATTTAGACTTGTCTTGGTACATGAAATCAGCGTTTTCAGTTATGCTCTACGACTACTGTGATTATTTGAGTCAATTTTTGCCAATCTACAATTCAAAGTACATGTGATTTTTAAGGAAAAAGCAGCTGTATTAGATTATGACATTACAACTTTGTATTTCATCTCTCTCTCTCTCATGTATATAATTTGTCACTGAATATGAATTTCCATTGTTTTCTCCTTTCTAATAGCTGTTACTTCTTATGAAGATCTGGGTCTCTTCGCATTTGGCTCACCTGGAAAGGTAATTTCTAATGTGATCTATTTGTGGGTTGTTGTTGTTTTCTGGAATTATAGTTCCAGTAAACATGTTGACCCAAAGATTTATACAGAAGGAGAGGTTTCTAAGTGCTTGAAACATGATCTAAAGCTCTTCTGGGTTCCAGTATCTGCATGAAGCTCTGTGCATATACAGTAAGAGATGAATTATGAAGTGTCCATTCTTCTCCATTTCTCCGAAGATGCAGCATCTCCTTTATACGCAGAATAAAACATAGGCAGATAAATTTTAGGATGCATGGAAGATGGGCAACCTTTTCAGCACCACAAGCCTACTCCAGAATCATTAGCTAGAGGGCTCAAGCTAACATGCATGCCACATCACAAGGACCATGAAAGGGGTAATCTGATGTTGGCTGACCAATATTTCCTTAAATATAGTCTGGTTTAGTTGTATGTAGTGTGTATGCTTTCTAGACATCCACACAGAGATGGCTTGGAAAAGTTGATCTCCTTCCTATAGCGAGTCTAACATTTAATATCGCTGCTTGCTTTGCTTTTTGATACAGTTGAGTTTTTTAAAAATATTTTAAGTTTTTCAGTAAAGACAAATATTGTTTTTGAAGCATGGATGTCTTTTTTTTCTTTTCCCCATCTTGAACTACATTACTATTGTTGTTTTTTACTTTATTATATTGTTTTTATTCCATTTTTTTATTGTTAGCCACCCAGAGTAGACTTTGGTCTAGATGGGTAGGGTATAAATTTAATAAATAAATAAATATATTTATTCATGTGTTTTGTTGCAAAAGCTAGTATAATTATACATTTTAAGAAGAGTATTTGGCTTCTACCATGCCACACAATTAGTCAACAATTCCCATGTAGCATGGTTTCAATCACATTTGATGATTTAAAAAAAATATTTAAATGATTTAAATGTAGCATTAAGCAATGTTTCTTGTGTTTTTACCATAATTTACTCTTTTGATAGGTTCTTGTGGCCAGTACAATTATAATACAGAACATTGGCGGTAAGATATGTTACTCTTGTAACTGATAATATTGAAGATCTTTATACCTTTCTTAAGTTGCATAAGAAGATACAACCGGACTTAAGAAAGAGTGTGTGTGTGTGGGGTAATGACAGTAGTCTGGTTTCGTTATGGTCAACGTCATTGTTTCACAGTATGTCTTGCATCCTCCTAATTACAGCTTTGATTCATTTATCCTAAATATGAAGGCTGGACTTCACTAAAACATCATCAAATCTGTTGATATCTCAGCAGTACAGTTTCATACATGTTACCTGTCACCCAAACAACCGATGCATATTGGCAGCTATGTGGTACAAACTGTGGTTTTCAATCTGGCTCTCCATACCCGTAGCACTGGTTTGTGGTGGAACACAACTAATCCTTAGAAGCTGTTTCCTGGGGGGAAATATGGAGCAGCACACCATTAGTAATATTCAGGACTTTTCTTTTTGAAAGATTGGTTTAAGTAGAAATTTCTTCTCCTTTGTGAGTGTGTATGCTTTCTAGACATCCACCCAGAACTGACTTGGAGAAGTTGATCTCCTTTCCTGTAGTGAGTCTAAAATTTAATATTGTTGCTTGCTTTGCTTTTTGATATTTTAAGTTGTTCAGTAAAGACAGATACTGTTTTTCCAGCATTGATGTCTTCGTTCTTCTACATCTCAAAAAATGGGGAAATTTCTAAAGAGCGTAACACCTTCAGTTTAAAGGAAGATATGGTTGTAACTATACAGTATTTCCAAAAGCAAAGACGTTCAGGCCATAGATCAACATACTTCATTCAAAACATGGGCATACTGGTAAAGCTATTCTATATACGTATTAGCTTTAAGTTTAAGTAAACCCAGTTGTTGAGCCCCTCTCTTGGATTCCCTAAAGAGAAGAAAATCCCCAGCTTGCCTAATACTAGTCCCATTAAGCACAAGGTTTCTTTCCCCCAGGTTAGGATCAGCTGGACTAGACTAGCAAAGATTATGTAGCTGTGATCCGGACTGTGCTACAAGGACTGACCCGGACTGCACTATATAGGAAGTAAAATGGCAAATAGAATTATGGCATAGTGTTTACTTAGGGTGGAAGTTAAGGTACCAAAAAGGGTCCATCAGTAGATCCATATTTTAAATGAGGGAGCTTTATCTGTGGCCTGCATTTCTTTGCTTTGTGGGAGTATAAATTCAACCACAAATGTTTGCTTTCAATTAAAGGTAATCCCTCTTTTGGAATAAACATACTTAGAAGCAGACTAGTTACTTCAGTAATTCTATTTATTGCTCTTTGTTAATAGAACAAATTGTGTTTAAAAGTGTAACAAGAGGCTTGTATTGATTTTGGCCATTTGTTCCTTCCAGTTTGGGTGACTTTGAGTAATGAGAAATACATTTTTAAATTTCCTTTCCTCTTTGACTGGATTTCTATATAAACATCATTAAGTAAATTGGGCTTAAGTAGTGAAGGACCAGGCAAGTCTGGGACCTAGTACAAGAGTTTGCTGGTCAAAGGAAATTTGAGTCTTTCCTCCTCCTCCTCTTCATCATAGTTTGTAACCTTCTGTGTGTGTCACTTTTAATAAAAATTTCTTGAGCCACCCCAGAGGCCTGGACCATTGTATATTTTACTATATCTTCTGTACTAATCCTGACTGTCAGGGAACAGAGATATATTTGCTGAAAATTCTAGTTTCTCCTTCATTCAAGAGACGGCTTTCATGATTGGAAAATATTATTTCAAGACTTTAAATGGATCTTGTCATTTGGAAACTACCATGTCCCTTTGGTGTTTGATACCTTTGATTCACAGTCTTTCCGTGGGAGTAAACCTTTCTTTTCCAAAGTTCAGATATTCTTCCCCAACCCATAATGATAGAATTAACCTGTTTTGCATCATTCTGCAACAAAAGGACAGCTTGCCACAATCAGAGGATCACTATGTAGTGCTCCTTCTTTTTATTGTACATCGCAAGATGCCTTTATATCCCTTGGGATCATTGTAGCTTCATTTTTGCTAGATGGTTCAGCCAGTCAGCATTCTGCACAGGTATGGCAGGAGATGGTTATCATTAGTGATTATCATTAAGCTGTCTGCACCTCTTGCATAGGTGGCTGTTTAGTGTAATTGGAAATTGGACATTCAGCCCTAACTTCAGGGCCATTTGGTGTATACCAGTCTTGGCTCTAAGGCATTCCGACTTGATTTTATATTCCAGTATAGTACATTATTCCAGTATAGTATACAGTATAAGGATTCAATGCTAATGATAGATTTCAGTCTGCTTGATCTACTCTTTCTCTGTCCAAGACTCACAAATTGTGTTATTCACAAGTTCACAACACATTCCAAATTCCTGTCATCTAGTCATAAATCAGAAGACTCCTTGACTTTTTTCCATTTACATGCTAATTCCGCTGGAGATGTGATGGAAGAAGGGAAATGAGTAAAGCCCTGCCAGGGTAATAAAAATGCTGGTATCGTAGCACGTGCATTTAAATCTGCAATGCTCTAAATGCCCCATCTCAGAAACAAAATCATAGGAATGGGAAAGATGCAAAACCAAAGCAGCTGAAACAATCCGTTTCTATATACATATATATAAAAGAAAAACAGTTGGGATTTTGGGGAGGGGGTGAAATATGCATAGAGAGCAGGGATGTGGGAATGTGTGGGTGTTCACTATCTCCAGTCACCACTGGCTGTGTTGACCATGTCTGATAGAATTTGTATTCTGGATGGGAGTGGGTGGGTGCCTGTTCCTCACCTGGGTGTTTATAAAATGTTTAAAGGCAGATTGAGAGTAGCGGGAGAAAGAGAATTATTATTATTATTTTTTGGTGGTCTCATAGGCATCCTTTAGTCTCGAGAGACTGTGGTAACAAGCTCTGAATCGAGGAGTGTCCTCTCCAGAGCATGAAGCCTGGGTAAAGTAATATGGACGATAGGCTGTTACCCAAGCAGCAGATCCCCCCTCTCCACATTGCTGAAATGGTCCAATGGAAAGGCAAGAGCCAATACAACTGGTTCCAGCAACGTCGCTCACCCTTTCATAACTTTTACCCAGCATTGACTGTGGTCGTAGAGGTGGAGGAGGTTTGGTTCTGGTGTAACGCAGCTCCTTTGTCAGCTTACCCATTCCTTGTCTTATTTGTCTCTTCCTCCCCCCGACACATTTTAGACAGTGGAACAGTTACCGTACTTCAGTTACTGTTACTGTTTATTATTTATTTGCTTTTATTTATATTGTTTATATATCTTGTGCAAGAGGGTTCTTCTGGATGAAGATTGTTTCTGTCCAAAGAAGACCTATTCCAATCAATGCATCTTTGAGTTAAGATTGCATTGCCTGGTAGCTTTATAAGGAAATTATAAACAAATTAATCAAGAATAGATGAATACATCAGTAGTTATTGACCATGGTAACTAGATGCAATGTCCATATTCTATATTCAGTGACAATATTCTCCTAAAATGGGTTCAACTCAGATGGTTGTCTTAACTGGAAAAAAAATATCATTTATGCCTTCTCATGGCCAAAAAGAATTATTTTATTTGAGGGTTATGAGTGCTTACAGTGTTACATGTTACGTTGTTATGTCAAGTCACCTCCGACTTGCGGTGACTGTATGAACGAGTTATCTCCAAAACGTCCTGTCCTCGAGAATCCTGCTCAGCTCTTGTAAACTCAAGCCTGGGGTTCCTTTAGGCAAATATCATTTATGCCTTCTCATGGCCAAAAAGAATTATTTTATTTGAGGGTTATGAGTGCTTACAGTGTTACATGTTACGTTGTTATGTCAAGTCACCTCCGACTTGCGGTGACTGTATGAACGAGTTATCTCCAAAACGTCCTGTCCTCGAGAATCCTGCTCAGCTCTTGTAAACTCAAGCCTGGGGTTCCTTTAGGCATTCCTCTTTTCCTGCTGTCTTCAATCTTCCCAGAATTATTGTCTTTTCCAAAGAATCCAGCCTTCTCATGATGTGCCCAAATTAGGGCACCTTCCATTTCCATATTTTTGCCTCCAGTGATAGTTCAGGCTTGATTTGATCTAGGACCCACTTGTTTATCTTTCTGGCATTCCAGGGTATCAACAAAAGCACTCCTCTAGTACCATATTTCAAATGAATAAGTTTTCTTACTCTCAATTTTTTCTTACTCTCAATTTTTTTCACATCCATTCATCCATAGTAATTGGAAATACAGTACTGTAGTGTGAATGATGTTTGCCTTGGTGTCCAGTGATGCATCCTTCTTGATGTTGTTATATACTGTCAAGTGGCCTCCAGTTTATGGTGACCTTTTGAAGGATGGATCTCTGAAATGTCCTGTCCTCCAGTGCAGCTCTTGTAAACTCAGGCTTGTGGCTTCCTTTCAAAACACATCTTTACACTTGATGATCTTTCCTAATTCCTTCATCGATGCTCTTCCACATTACGGTCTTCTGATTTCTTGGCTTCATTTGGAATGATTATTAAGAACCAAGTTATACAAAATCTTTAACTATTTCCATTTCTTCGTTGTCAACATTACAGTGTCATTATTCAGCAGTCAGAATTTTGGTCTTAAGGTTCAACTGCAAGTTCCTTTAGGCATTCCTCTTTTCCTGCTGTCTTCAATCTTCCCAGAATTATTGTCTTTTCCAAAGAATCCAGCCTTCTCATGATGTGCCCAAATTAGGGCACCTTCCATTTCCATATTTTTGCCTCCAGAGATAGTTCAGGCTTGATTTGATCTAGGACCCACTTGTTTATCTTTCTGGCATTCCAGGGTATCAACAAAAGCACTCCTCTAGTACCATATTTCAAATGAATAAGTTTTCTAACTCTCAATTTTTTCCACATCCATTCATCCGAGTACCATATTTCAAATGAATAAGTTTTCTTACTCTCAATTTTTTCTTACTCTCAATTTTTTTCACATCCATTCATCCATAGTAATTGGAAATACAGTACTGTAGTGTGAATGATGTTTGCCTTGGTGTCCAGTGATGCATCCTTCTTGATGTTGT